CAAATTACCTCGGAGCAAAAGACTAGTTTAGAAAACATATGGGGCTTCAGGTACTGTGATTTATGTGACCACATTATATTTAGATTGATGCACTAACTGTTTTACCTATTAACATATTGATAAAACCTAATCAGTCTATCAATTTATTTTCATTTAGGGAGAGCTGTAGCACAGGGAAGGTTATATCTTTGCAGTGTTTTGGTAAGCAATTTGGTTTTAACCCTTTTAACACAAAAATTCTTGTAACATGTCCAAACTTAACAGAGCATAGCTACATCTGCGCCAGAATTATTGCATTAACCAGTTCAAACTTTGAATCTCTGTGCAGAGTGTGGGACCCGAGCAAAGCTGCCCAGGATAATAGGAGGTGTTGAGGCCACGCTGGGCAGGTGGCCGTGGCAAGTCAGCCTCTACTACAACAACCGTCACAACTGTGGAGGGTCAATCATCACCAGACATTGGATAGTAACAGCAGCTCACTGTGTGCACAAGTAAGCTGCTGACCTTAACAGCGTTATAGGTCAGAGGGCAGAGCTGCTCTGAAGGGCAACAATCAGTAATTAACAGCTGTGCAGCTGCAGGACACAATCTCTTTCATCACTGTCTGTTTTACCTTTGAAATGTCAGCTACAGGCTGCCTCAGGTGTCCAGCTGGGTGGTCTATGCCGGCATTGTAACTCGTAGCTCTGCTACAATTGCTCAAAATGCGGGTTATGTGGTGGAAAAGATCATCTACAACAAGAACTACAACCACAGGAGCCATGACAGTGACATAGCGCTGATTAAACTGCGACGGCCCCTCAATTTTTCAGGTGCGTCTGTGGGCAAGTTTTGTATACAAAAACTTATTTAAGCACATGTGGAGCAAAACCCAGAAACTACTCTCAAGGTGTTGTCTGTGTACCTTTTTCTAACTCATTTACAGCCCACTGTGTAACAATTTTGAAAAAAAAAATGTCTTTAATTCTTTAACTATCTCACACAAAAATAGCTATTATAAGAATACAAACTTACATCTTGGTTCATTTAGGGAGTGAATACCATGCTAATATATAACTGTTGCACAGTTTTTTGGCTACATTTACAACCTATATTTGAAACAAATGTCCTGAACCATTATCTCTACTCATACTCTAATTCTTTAAATTGATTAGAGTTTCTAGGAGTTTCTAATTAACAATCCATGACTTTTTGTTCCCTTGGGGCATTGATAGGATGTGACAGAGGACCCTATCTCTTAAGCCACAGTCTAAAAGGCTGGATTCATCCTGCCACAACCCACAGTAAGCAGATAAAGGAGTATCTAATAATTCCTAATTCCTTCTTAATTTTACTAATTAAATGTTAAATTAGTTATTGATACCACTATATTAGTAGTGTACAGTGGATCCCAAAATTGAACACTCCTGTTAAAATATAGGCCCACATTATCTGTTGAACTAGTTTTAGAATGATTCATTAAATTCTTTCTATTTTTGTCTGATATCCAGAGGTGACAAAATAAATTATTTCATTGTTTCAAATCCTGCTTTACTGCCTGTTGTGCTTTACATTGCTTTTAATTTCTTTTCTTTTTGTCATGATCTGTCATTCTGGACTTTTTGGTTCCGTGTAAGTTTCATTTTGGGTTCTCAGATATGCTTTATTTTATGTTATTCTGTACTGATTTATACAATATTTGAATTCTTGGTTTTACTTGTCGTTGTTATTCTCTTTTCAGCATTTTTGCTGCTTTTATTCCTTGGTCTAATTTTAGTTAGTCATTACTTCCCTTATCCTTAGGTTATGTTTTCCATGGCTGCCGTTATATCCAGTCACTTCTCTTATCCTGTAGTTTTCCCATGATCTTTCCTTATTTTGTAGTTATTAGTTTTATTCCCCTTCAGCCTTATTTAAGTTCTTTTCCAGTTACAGTTATACCCTGTTTTCCCTTGTTACTCTATGTTGCCCCCTAGTGACCCTTTCCTTTCCCCTTATCTCCCTTCTAGCTGCATCTGTCCACACCTGCTCCCAATTAACTGATTACACCACTCTTGGTTCTGTCTCCAACATATACACCACCTCTGCTATTCCCTTAGTGCTGGATTCTCTTAATTTCCTTCTTGTATGTTTGTTTCTTCTGAGCTTCACTAGTTTCTGGTTCCTGAGTTCCCAGCCTGTTATTTCTGGATTTATATTTTTGTAAAATCTAACTCACCATTAAAACTGCAAGGACCATCTCTGCCTCCTCTACCCTGCATTTAGGTCCACAACAACATCCACGATGCCTGACACTCTTTCTGCTTCCTGCAAGAATTACAAATTTGGCAGATTTCTGTTAAACTAAAGATTTTTTTCTCGGGAATCAAATCGTAAAAGAAGTAATATCACTCAAAATATCTTACACCTAAATCATGATAAAGGCTGAAAAGAAAAAATAAGCTAAGTGCTATCTGAGTAGTATGCTGGCTACTACTGTGCTTTCTATAATAGTTCCTTTAGCGTAAAAATCTCACAATGTCACTATCTGGTGCTAAAGGGGTATGAGGGATCCCATAACTCTTTGCATGAAATGAAGTATAGGCAGAGACTGCATTAACCTTAACAAACACATATATGTACCTCACAAGTATTGTGTGTGACATATGCAAATGCACACACACTCATATGTAGTTTGGGGAACTTCGTACTTTTTGTGACAATAACTTGTGTTTTAGTCGCTCTTATTTTCAGTAGGCTGTAAGATCAGTTAGGCAGGTATCATCCATTTCTGTCTCATAATGTCCAGAAGGATGAGACTGTCTGGAATCAGCACAGTCAGGAGTTTTTTTCCTATTTTTTTTTTGTTGCTTTTTTTGGGATCGTGACACTTTTCCAAGATTCTTCCGTTTGCATGCTCCGACTTTGTAAATCAGTCAATGAGTGTAGCCATTAGAGTACAAATCTCTAAAACTACATCAACATGTGTCGTTAAGAAGTAAAATGTTTTTTCATCTTTTAATCTAGATACAATTAGACCCATCTGCTTGCCTCCATATGACTATGATCTCCCAGGTGGCACACAGTGCTGGATTTCCGGATGGGGATACACACAGCCTGATGGTGGTAAATTGTTGCAACGCACCTGACCTACATTTTACTCCTACAACCCACGCTTTAACATAGTGACAGAGCATAACACCTTTATTGACAGGGCAGCCTTTAAATGCACGTTTCCTCTTTCAGTTCACTCACCTGCCACCCTGAAAGAAGCCCCAGTTCCTATAATAACCACAAAGAGATGCAACAGCTCCTGCATGTATAACGGAGAAATTACTCCACGGATGCTCTGTGCTGGATACACCGAAGGAAAAGTGGATGCATGCCAGGTTGGATGCATCTACTGAAAAGTAGTGTTTTAGAAAGCTATTAAAGATTTACCCCTTGTTGTCACATTTATTTATGGTTGTAGTAAAGTGTTTCTCTGTGTACCTCATCAGGGGGACAGTGGGGGTCCTCTGGTCTGCCCAGATGAAAATCTGTGGAGGCTCGCCGGAGTGGTGAGCTGGGGAACAGGCTGCGCTGAGCCAAACTATCCTGGGGTTTACACTAAAGTGGCTGAATTCTTGGACTGGATCTATGACATGACTGAGGTGGACATTTTTTAACAAGTTTACATGGATAGTTACGTAATCTTAGAGGTTATCATACCCTTTGGAATTTTCCCATCTTCATAATGCATCATTGAGATTTATTTAATGAAACCCAACATACAGCAAGCCAAAATACAAACATTTGTATTCAGCTCCCTTTATGATCACTTAGACATAATAACTTTCAAACAACTGCCCTTAAAAGTCAGTTTATTAATATAGTATATCTTGATTTCAATGCTTCTACAGCTATGCTCGACTTTAATATGATATTATTGCTATTTTACAAGTAAACCTGAAACATATGGCATGCCTTTGCATTCAACCACTCTGATAGAACAGATAATAAAATCACACTTTGTATCGGGTAGGGCTGCAAACATTTGTGCATAAATGTGTGTCTACCAGCTTTGAAAATGCTAAATTTTTGCCAATTCATTATGAAACCATTTCCAATGTATTTAACAGTGGGATTGTGTGTTTAGTTGCTCCTGGGAGCAGCAAATAAGTAACCCAGGATATCACCCTTAGTCTCATCTAGCTAAACCATCTTCTTCCATGTCTCCATAGATTATGACAAACAGGAAAATATAACGTCTTCAGGTCTGCTTTCTACAACTACTGCTGCTATTATCCACTTGCTTCTTCCTTCTTTTCATTTAAAAAAATATCTTTGGAGTGCAAGACTTGTACTTTAACCATCTGAGTTATGGATCATCGCCACAAGCCTCTTCTTTCTCTGAATAATGCATCACTTGTGCAGTAAGATAGTTTAAGTTAAAGCCAATATTTTGGTAGGTGTACATTTGAGATATTTTGTTTCCATTTTAGGGAGATATTAAAGAATACTCCATTATTTTTTTCAAACCTTGGGACATCAATCATTGAACCATGCTGTACAACCTTGCATTAATTAATTTCTGACCCCTGGCCTTTATGATACTGCTTGCTCACTACTGCTATCTTACAAACATTTGAACCCTGTAAAGAATGGTTATATTTATATAAAGATAAAGTTACACACAGGTGCACTCTTCTTACTGACTTTTAAAGGGAGATGTTTGCGCAGGGTCCAGCAGAATACATACGCTCACAACAGTGAAAACATGTTTGCTTAATATATAAACATTCTATAATTTTAGAAGTATGCTGTACGAGTTATTGAGATGTTGAGTTTATAATACAGTCTATCCCCTAAAAATACTATGACATGTATAACTGTTAAATAAATAAAAAAGATTAGAGTTACTGTAAACATTGCCGTGGTTCAAACAATGGATGCCTAATTACAGTCATCACAGACTTCAGTCTATCATGCTTTTCAATTTACAATGAAACATAATTGTGGTTTACATACTGCTAACAACCACTCTTTGTCTTTGCAGAATTACTGAGAGCAAGCCGCGCAAAAACGAAGAGGATATTTGCATACTACAGCTGTGTTTTATGTTTCATTTATATGTCAGCTAACTGATGCACACATTATGAGAGAAAGATTATAAACAATGTATTTTTTATGTAACAATGTGAATAAAATCGCTTTAAAAGCATTGTTGTGATTATTGCAATAACACCTTCCTACCGCCAGGGGGCGACCGTGGTATAGTTTGATCTAGTTGCCGTGGCAACTAACAACATTAACGCAGCTGTGCACATAAAGTTAAAAAGAGTATAGATACATGCTGACTACTTTATAAACAGTCAGGTTTCCCAGCATTAGAAAATAAACTTCTAAGATAAAAGCTGGTATGATGTCATCCACCGGCGGAAGGCATGTTTTACAGCAGGTCAGCCAGTTTTGGTCCATGCTGGACGATCTGTCCGAAAACGACCCTGTAGCATACAGCAGGTTCATAGAGGAGCAGATGAAGAGAGGAGCTGAATTCAACGCGCCGCCTGAGCTCCACTCGTGTGTGCGAACCCAGATACTGGTGAGTTAATTGTGGGCAAACAGTTTTTGGAGGGCAAACATTTCCAGATGTGCTTCCTCAGAATTACTCCATTCAGAGGTGTAGCCAGAAATAGGGGCCTAATAGGGGTGGCCGAAAGGTACCAGAACCTCAGCATCAATCTACACTGTTTCAAGAGGAATGAGCACATCAAGGGTGCAGGTCATTATTACTCGGTGCTTAGCAGTCAGTTTTAAAACTTTTTTTAAAAATGAGATCAGAATTCAATAAACATGTATATTTAAATTAATTTTCCCATGCATTTCTTTGAAATATGGGCACTTAACATGTTGTATACACAAACTTCTCAGTGTTAGAAATCGTAATTGTTAGATTGTAATTGGAGGATATTTACTTTATGGTTTTATTTTCAAAATGAGACAAATTAACAATTTAGTCTACATAAAAAAAAAGTATAATTAGCGGCAATGATCAGTCTTTTCAACGTAAGCCAACACCTACAGTGAGGCGACAGCATCATGGTAATGAAAAGTGTACCTGTCGTTTTGCATAAAGTTGAGAGAATATTGCTAAGAAAAGAAAAATACCAAATTCTTTGTTTTACCTTCTAATAAGCAACAAGGATGTTTAAAACATTTCAAGGACAGTAATCAGACCACCCCAAATGCATCAAAACTGGTTCTGGAATAGATTAGGCTAACACGTAGAATGAGTCAGACCAATTCTGTGAATGTTTAGGGAGTTTAAACAAGCTCTACTATTGCTGACATGTCCCACCAAATGTACATTATTTGTGGCTTCAGAAAGTGTGTGCATGGTCCAAATGGTAGATGGCTATATATTTGAACCTGTATGTGTAATTGAAGAGAGAAAAATCTTAATTTAGTATCACTTTTTTTTTTCAAAGAAAAGAAATGCTTCTCGTGTAATTATTTTTTTAATTCATATTTAGCTGTACATTTATACCATGTGGTTTTTATGCCAGGTCTATATAAACCTTTTACTGGCACTGTATGTATCATATTCTAGTCGTACAATGACAGAGCACATCTGTGTCCTTGTCAGGAACCAAAGCCAGGTTGGCTTTATATTAATATTTGCAGCTGGAAACGAGTGCCTGCACCTCAGAATCTGAGCTGTTCTCCACACTTATATGGCGGAAAACTAGAAACCATCAAGCCAGAAGACCAAGGTGGTTGTAAGCTGCACAACTGTCATTGTGTTGCTTTATAGTGCGAGGTACTTAAAGATTCTTAACCCTGCAGGATGGCATGCTGTGTTGGATGTGGCATTAAACCCTGCTGTGCTACAGAAGAGGAAGGACGATAAAGCAGATATTAATGATATCTATAAGCTGGCCCTGAGTTTTGCCCAGCAACAGCACAGGATGTTGTTATCTGCAGAGTACAGCATTGTCAGCTGTAGTCCAAACAGTAACCGGGATGACTTACGATGTCGACTCGGCTTTCAGAAGCCTCCAACCTCCAAACTGGAAACAGGTAAATAGACCTCTTGTTCTGATAAGCTGTTGCAGACTTCTTTATCAAGGCCTTTGCTCCCTTCCTGTGAGGGCGTTTTGTCTGTGTCCTCCCACCAGTTTCTCTCATTCACAGCCGGTCAGACCCCAGCTTCCCTCCTACAACGGATCTCCTCTCAACAATCAGGGGCACAAGAGGAGGACAGCAAAGTCCAAATTATTTGCAGACCCGTGGAGCACATAAAGAACGATTTGATCCAGGTCATTTCCAGCACTTTCCAGGGGCCTCAGGAGCCAGAGTATCTGCTCGAGGTGAAGACTGATGCAGCAGGAGTTCCTCGCAGCGTGAAGCTGACAGTGGACCTGCCAAAAGTTCGTTCCATGTCAGAGTGCCAGCTGAGAATATCCAAGGTTAGTGGTTGCACACTCCTCTGAACACTTATAATGAACCGCTTTGATTCCACTGTGCTTCACTGCATCCCTGGATGTCATATGAAATACATAATTGGTTCACGCTGAGGCTTACCACTTCCTGAATATATTTGGGCTTTGCAGGAGGATGTTGTTCTGCAAGTGGAGGATGTTTATTATTTGCTCCTGGAGTTTCCAAAAACTGTCAACGAGGACACAGCATCCGCCGTTTTCTACAAGAAGAAGAGGAGACTTACGCTGACAGCAGATGTTTTGTGACCAATTAATTTTAAGAGAAAAGGTAGAGGGTTCGCACCGTCACACATGCAAGGAGTGAACTCGTATAACAAAAACACCTTAAAAGAGTGTGGTTAAAAAAAAAAAAAACATTCAGAATAAAGAGTGCATGCTGTGTGGGAACATATGCCCTGCTTCAAACTAAAAATCAAACATCCTGCCTGTAAACTGATCTGTTTTCAGGGTGTTCTTTAGACAAATGTGTAAAGTTTTCCCACTGTGTAGTCTGGTGCTCAGAAACACATTCAATCTAAACCCCCCTTCCACCAACTTCCCCTAAAAAAATGTTATTGACAGTAATAACAATCTGTCAGTAGTGTTCAGAAACCACTAAAGGTGGAATAAATGTCAAAAATACATTTCATGCAATAAGTTATGTTTATTGAAACAACAGAACAACACCAAAACTTTTTGGCAATGTGGAACTTTGTGTAAAATGTCAGTAAACACTGCAATTTGAGGTCTGCACCCAATACAACTTTTATGAAAACCCTTTTTTTTAAGTTAAAAGCTTCAAGTATCACTGTTTTACTGGCCGTTGATATTGTAGCTGAATGTTATTCTTTAAGCAGGAAATGATGAGCAACATTTAATTCTATAAATAAAATAGTAGCAAAAAATGCTGAGACATTTTTTCGGGTATGAAACATTCACTTTTAAAACATTGCTGCGGATGAACGATGGTCTCTCCCTTGGTCCCAGTTATTGTTTAACAGCATTTTTTTTATATGGCATGACAGATGTTTTTAGTAAAAGTTCTGATCCGGTAGGGATGATGAGGTTTGAGGTGGCGATCTCTGGTGCTCTGAGCTCTACCTCCTCTCTCCGTGGTCCTCCTCCACCCATGCCACAATCTTCCCCTCCCAGCCAGGGACCACTGCTCCATCCTGGAACACCTGGGGAACCAAATAAAGCATTTACTTAATGTACAACACAAAGGAAAAATCTTTAACCATTGAACTTTTTTAACAAACACAAACTCGTATGGGTTTTTTTTCCCCCAGACATTTCCCTTGAGCTCTGACCAGCTTCATTGTCCCTGCTGAGACCAGACAGTATCCCATGGGGATACAGCCACCTCTGTAGTGTGTTCAGTCAGGTTTTCATTTTGCCATATGCAGAACATTCAGTTTTTTTTCCCTCTGACCAGAGTACCCTCTTCCATATGATTTCTGTCTCTTGTACCACACTACAAAAATCGGGTCTTCCTTTTACTTTCTTTCAACTTCCCCTCTGCAGATCCCAGAATAGTAGAGCTATGGGCTCACTTGCTATGGGTAGGAGAGCCCATAGCTCTACTTTCAACCTATTCTCCCACCTGAGCTGTTGGTTTCTGCAGCTTCTCCAGTAACCATGGACCAGGTTGTTTCTAAAATCAATGCCCTTTGTTGTTTCCCAGCTGTTTTTTTTTAGGTCTTGGTAATTTGCATTTTCGGCCACACTTTTCGATTCAGAAAGATGGATGGTCTGCTTTGTTTCCTTGTTCTTCATGATTCTTTTTGTTTGCTAATGTTCTCTAATGAATTTTGGAGGACTTGCTTATAGAATATTAAGTTTCACCTTGAGTGACTCTGTGTTGCAGCAAATGCATCTTTGCGACAGAGAAGGCCTCACAATAGTAAGTCATTTGTTGTCCTTAACAGGCAGGATGTGTCTGCTTGCAACACCTTTCTAACTGATTGTTTCAGATGTTTTAAAATTGAATCTTTAGATTCAATAATGATCTGCATAACCCTTAAATACTCATA